GTCACTCCTGACAGGGGCCAGATCTCTGCAGTACACAGTGTCTAGCTGGAACTGGTTGACTTAGCACTTCCAGGATAAAGTTGCTTGGCTCTGCAGTGATGAAGATGCTGCTCTTGTGACAGTGTCAGCCAAGGTGTCCAATGAGTCATGAACCTATGTTGGGAGGTAATACTAAGATAAACCATATTCCTTAGCTATTCTACAGGTCCATCACATATGATAGAAAGTTCATTCCATATCATTACATTTCCAACAATCACCTGACTCCAGTGAGATCACAGTGGAGGCAGTGCAGCTGGTGGTGAGCCCATGGGACACCATCTCTTGGACTTCTGTTGCCCAAGGCAACTGCTTCAGCCTACCTTATGGATGGTCCAGCCCTGCTGATTAGGCAGCAGATCAAGGCAAGCATGTCCAAGGGAGCAATCACATCCACATCCAAGCCTCTTAGACCCCACATGGCTGTTAAAGTGAATGTGAATATGGAGAACTCTATATTGTTAAGGGTGCTCAAAGTTGTTAGGAGATAGAAGTACAATTCCCAGCACCTGTAACAAATTATAGTTCCTGGCATGATGTGTGTGGGTGGGTGGGGGGAGCACATTACAGTTTAAATGGTATAAAAGAGCTGTTGGTGTGGATGTGAATGGTAGGAAGCAGGCCCCATGAGGAACTGGTCATAAATAGGGCATCACCCATCCACTCAGCTGCAAACCATTATTTATGGCAATATTTCCATACAGATGCCAACCATTTGGAGGGCATTTTTCTAGTTTGTTGTGAAAGACTGTGCCAAACCTAAGACTGGGTTTGAAATCCATAGAAAACTGACAAAACAGGGAAGGGAACTTCGACAATAACAGACTTCGCATACGAGAACAAAGGCAAAGTGGAATAATGGAAGCACACAAAACAAACTAAGTGATTATGAGAGGAAACAACCAAAGCAAGACATCAAAAATAAAGGCAACATGTTAGTACAGATTGATCCAGGGCTGTAATTCAATGAAGCTGCCTTATCTATTGACTTGCTGCGTAGTTTGTGTGAATTGCTGTCGTTGGTCCACTTTCCAACCTGCACAAGTATTATAAAGACAATTATATCCTATCTGAATAGTTTTTGAAGCCTCTGGTTGGAAATGACTGTGTAAAAGCTAGGTGCTATTACAGCTGGAAATTGTCAAAACATGATGTGATTTTGTTCCCTGTTGCAGATGCAGTCTCCTTGAATTGCCGTGTAAAGTAAGCCACTCTTGTGTTGAAAGATGCTCTCCCCCCTCTCTCTCTTTTTGCTATTGCAGGGAGCATTTCTGCTTTCCGGTCTGATAAAAGCCGTCCTGCCAACCTAGCTTGGCAAATTTTTCATACTGAGGTTGCTTTTGCATTCTTTAAGAGCAGTGACTGTGCTATAGAGCATCTGAAGATGTAAGCATTTTTTGGCACAAAGGAATCAAAGAGAAGTTATGATAATCATTGAAGGTTCAGAAATCTATGGGAAACCAGAAGAGTGCACACAGGCTGGGATAATTGTGTCTGTATAATACAAATGGAAATCTGTTTAAAAGTGTCTGGGAGTTACCAGGTGAATCTATTTTATTTTTTTGGTTTGTGTAAAAGGAGTCACTTATGTAGATAGCAAGGAATTTCTCTACTTGCATTTCCAATATTATATATTGAGCGGTGGAGAGGTGTATTATTTTTAATTACGTGTGTATGTGTGAGTGAGAATTAACAGCAGTTATTATCTGCTTCCTCTTCTCTTCCAGCAAGAATTATGGACAGTTTTCTACCAGTACAGTTGAGGTTGCATGCAGTTTTTATGCTCAGGTAACCAATATTTCTAAGGATCACACTGAATTATACCTGGTTTGGGGGCGGGGGCTGATTCAGATGTTGCACCACTTTTTATACTTGCCAGCATCTATAGTTGTGAGGTGGGCATAACATGTCAGTGGAGAGTCTATAGACTTCTGCTATACCATGGTCTCAAAGATTCCAAAATGTTAAAGTCTGTGTGCTTTCTTAGCGCACATTGTATGATGCTTATATGAACAATGAGCTTAGTAATACAAAAATGGTTGGAAGTCTTCCATGTGAGCATAGAAAGCAGTTTGTGAGTGCAGATGGTAATGTTTGAGCTGGCCTTTATAATGTCACACAAGGTAGGCTTGATTTCATAGAATCATAAAACTCTAGAGTTGGAAGGGACCCCTGAGGATCGTCTCATCCAACCCCCTGCAATGCTGGAATCTCAACACGTTTCCCCATCCAATTTGAAACCATACCAGACCCTGCTTAGCTTTGCAAATGTGCTAGCAGTGTTGTTGCTTCACCACATTTGCAGGCACCATTAACAAAAAGAAAATATTTAGTGATTTGAGACAATAAACATACACAAGTGAAGTAAACATAGAATGCAACCAAGAGCCATGTACCAATAGTATTACTCGTAATGGCTTCACTTTCTTCACTTTCATAAGATCTAAAGGGTATTACAGTGACAGGTTAACAAATCTATACTGTTGACACTTTGCAACAGGAGTACAGAACCTGTGATCACCCAGATGTGATTGGACTGCATCTCCCATCATCCCTGACCATTGGGAGTTGGACTCCAACCAGCAACATCTCTATGTCTGCAAGTTCCCTACCCTTATTTCACACACTGTTTGGCTGTAGGTTAAGAAATTTCCTGATTATGCAGTGACCAATTACATTATACACTCAATTACTTACCTAGGCATTAGTATTCCTAGCAAGGCTTACTGGCCATGCCAGACATTACTTGCTCTCTGCATGCCTATGATTTGGGAAGTGTACCAATTAGTTATCTGGGATGAGATGATCATTCAAATATAATGATCAAAATGAAGGTTACACAAATTGATTCTGGACAGGCTGTGCTTCATTTGTTTACTTGAAGTTTTGAAGAGTTCCCAATACATAATCAAGGCTGAAATGAAACCACTTCTCACACACCAGCAGAACTAACACAGGTTGTACTGAGTATCTTCCTTCTCCAAGCCTGCCCAAGGACTAGAAAAAATGGCAAAAAGCTATGATCGTGTTGGACTATGTATTTGGCACTGTGAGCTACAGTGGAAATGTATACCAGGCTGGTGAGACATCACTAATAGCATTAAAAGCACAATCGCCTTGCTGCCATATACTTTTTAACCAACAAAGCTGCTATGGTGGAACCCAATGGCACAAGTATTTCCCTGTTTCATACCACAATATTGAAGCAATCTGAAGCATGCTTATTTGGGAGTTAAATCCCTTAGAATTTAGTGGAGCTTGTGTGTGACTTAGCAGGATCTTAAGGTGCATTCTTAAGCATCTTAACAATATGATCCTAACAATGTTTCTTCATAAGTAAACCCCACTGAATTCAGTTGTACGTAGTTCTGAGTAAGAAACCTAGGCCAGCAGTCATACTTGAAAATAAAGTTGTATTTAAATTGGTGGAACTTCATTCTAAGTAAATGTGTTAATCTGGGTGTCTGAACAAATGAAAGCACCCCATTAACATTTCATGGATGTGTTTCTAGTATGTCAATTATGCCAAGTTATACAGACACAAATCCTTGATGGCTGCCGCATGCTGCAGAACTCCTGCCCTTAGGCTCTCAGACACTAATATTATTTCTTTAAAACCTTATTTGTGTGGCTTGTATTTTTATTTGAATAATTTATATGCTTTTACTTTGAAGAATTGCAACTGGTCCCTAGCCCTCATTTTTGGGTGGGCTAGCAATCAAAATAATGTCTTTTAAAAGTGGATGCATAGTGAATGTAATAATAATGACTTTCTAGAAGTTTTCCTTGGTTCTATATTTACTCATTTCTGAATTTTGCATTACACAACTCAAATTTTCTTAGTGATTCTATGTACAAAATTGGGGAGCTTGATTGTTGCCTTTTCCCATTTCAACACACTTCTGTTGGGTTGAACATTCTGGGTTGCATCCAGTCGTACTTGGAGATCAATGAGATCAATAGTCCTAAGTTATTGTAATGTCCGAGTATGACTTAGCTGAATACAGCTAACTCTCCTAAATTTCCCTGACGAGGTGCTAGTTAAGCCTGTTTTAGGGTTGCTATATTTCAAAAGGTAAAAACCAAGACACCCCAGAAGTTGTTGAGTTTTTTAGGAAACCACCGAAATTGTTGAGCTTCTAAAGGAAAACCCAAAAGTTGTTGAGCTGTCTTTTTATTAAAACACAAAAAAACCCCATGTTTTTTGGTCTATTTGCCGAAGATCCAGGACAAACCGCCACCCAGATGTCACTTCCGCCTTTGAAATCCTGGTAATGTCTGGGAAAATCCGGACAAATGGCAGCCCTAGTTTTTAAGTACCTGCAAATCAGAACATTCCTGTGCCTGTATCTGGACTATGGATCTGGGATGCCTAACACTGTTCCCCTGTCATTAACAGAGCAGCCAAAGCACATTCTCACAATCTCTTTCATTTTATATGCGTATATGGCAAGTTTGGGAAACATGTGGCCCTACAGGTGCATTTGGACTCCAGCTAGGGTTGCCACCGTTGGGCAGGCAAAATAAGAACAGGTCGGGCAAAATACAGGACAGGACAGGGCGGGGGAAGGGATTGAGGGGCTAAAAATTACTTCACTGGGTGCAGAAATGACTTCAAAGCAATCCATTACAATGGCACATGGGAGTTCCAGTGGTTTATTCAATGAAAACAACAACAAAAGCACTCGCTCTCTGATCTACCTGCCTCTGTCTGTGCATAAACTCCTTCCCAATCCCCCCTGCTCTCCACTGGGTGGATGGACAGACCAGCCCCGAGCAACACCCCCCTTTCTCCAGGACTTACACTCTGCTTGCACAAAAACCCTCTCTCTCAAACTCCTCCTCCTGGCCCCACCCCACTCTCTGCTCACCATCCCACAATAACCTTGCTCTCATTCTCAATCTCATGGACCCACCCTCCCCATACAAGCTCCTGCTCAGGCTCTTCCTCTCCTCCTCCCATCGGACCCACCCTCTGCTCGCACAGTTTTGAGGATGAGAATGAGCTTGAATGCATGAAAAAAGGCATCCCGTCCAAACAGGGCAGGGGGCACTTTTCTCCCCCAAAAGGACAATCACATATTTCTAGGGACGGGTGGCAACCCTAACTCTCTCTCCCATCATCCCTGTCCGTTGGCCATGCTGGCAGGGGCAGATGGGAGTTGGAGTCCAACAACATTTGGAAGGTCACAGGTTCTCTATTCCTGGCATACAGGGTAGCTAACTTGGTACCTTCAAGATTTTGCTATTGCTTCCATCATCCCTGACCACGGGTCATGCTGGCTGGGGCTGATATGTATAAGTTCCCAGGTTCAATACCTGGAGCTACTTGTTCAAGGACTCGAGGTAGCAAGGCTAGAAAAGACTGTGTGTGCTTGAGACCTCGGAAGAGAGTTGTTGCCAATTAGAAGAGACTGTACTCAATTTAATGGCATGCTATAACGCAGGTTGTAAAGTGCTTCTGCCATTTTAGGGGTACTTGTGCAATGGGATATATGTAGAAGGTAATGTTTTACAGAACTATGATATTGCAGGGAATATCCATCCTAGGCATGGCTATCCTAGAAGCATTTTGAGGTGTTTGATAGCGTCTGGCACTTGGGTGTTCTTTTGTTTTTACTGCCATGGAGCAGTGGGGTGCCTTGTTGTATACAATTCTGTGAGAGGCCGCTTGTTCTGTGGGGCTTAGAAGCTCTTTTATGGAGATGTGAGAGGCACCATGTGTGCGACAGAGATGCTTTTCAAAACAAATCTGCAAGGTGCCTGCGATTTTATAGTGGGATTCTTAAAGCTGTACATGTGCCAGTCAGGTAGGCTGGTCTAACTGTAACACTGGGAAATGACAGCTGGGTACACACCCTTGTTTACTCTGCACCCAGTGTGCTCCCAACAGTGGCTTGGGAAGCAGTGTACACATGACGTTTGCCACAATCCATATCTGCCCTGTTGTTTTCCTTATCATGTTTTTAATATTCTGTTGGGAGCCGCCCAGAGTATTATTATTATTCCTTATGAAATACTGCATTTCAATACACTTTCCCCACAAACTACCTTCAGCCCGACTTGAGGAAAAGAACAATCTAGCTGTGTTTTAAACCAGTAATGTTTACACAAAATAATGGATGCAGTCCTAAACTCCTTTTACCAGGGAATAAGCTTAATTGAATTAAAAAGGATTTACTGCTGAGTACACATGGCCAGGATTTCAGTGTAAATTACCAAGAAACTGCTGCTGTTTTCGTTTTTTGTAATGTTCAAGATTAGAAGAGTTTCTAGAAAAAATAAATATAAATGATAAGCTGAGATATGTCCATAGACATATTAAACCAACAAGCAGTTTGCATGCCCACCCCCAGTGTTTATTTACAAAACATGAAGAAAAAGCCCTGACCCCTTCCAGGTATGCTAACAAAATCTTAATCAAGCATCTACATCCCCCGTCTACTTTGCTCACCCCGGTTATTTTGAAACGATTACCAGTCAGAATGAGATTTGAAGCAGCGATTGCTCTGCTCAGACCTCAGGCTCTTAGTCTCTGCAGAGGAAGCATCTACTGCTACCCCACGGAGGACGCCCGCCGCGCGCCCCCCTTCCTATGCCAATTCGGATTAGACTATACCCTGCAGCAGACGTGTTAATCCGATACTTCTTCCCACCTGTTTCCACGCCCGTTACCCAACGACCTGAGCCGCCGGAGAGACTACGCCTCCCAGCATGCACCTCGGCCGCTCCGCGCTCCGCTCCAGTGTAGCAGGATTTTCCCTGTGGATTGCGCATGCCTAGCCAGACGTGGCAGCAGCAGCAGCAGCCGCCGCCGCCGCCGCCAGCAGCTCCTCGTTCTGCCAGCGCGAGCGGCAGTCGGTGATGGGTCTGGCGGGGCGCAGCTTTGGGAGGACGAAGTGCTTCGCAGGGAGGATGTTGCTGCTGGCCCTCTTGGTAAGTGGCTGTTGCTGGGAAGCGGCTTCTGCTGCCGAGGGGCGTTTCGTGAAGGACGCGCGGGGCGGCGGAGGGCGGGGGCGAGCTGTCCGGGGCACTTGGGCTGGTACACTGGTGGTGGTGGTGGTGAGAACTGGTGATTCTGGAGGCGCCGGACTGTGTGTGTGCTTGTGTGTTTGCACACAGCTCGCCTGTCAAAGTGAAAGCGGCAGGCTCACATTGCTTAGGTGGCAGAAGTTAAAACTTCTTCGGCCTTTGGAAAGCGGGCGGGCGGGCAGGCGGGGTTTGTGTATGTGCGTGTGTGCAAATACCTCACGAGAGGAGCCGCTGCTTGCAAAGGCTCGCGCTGCTTTCCTTTCCTTTCCTGCCTGCCACGCTTGCGAGAACCCCGTGGCCGGTTGTTGGTGAGTTGGAGGAAACCCGGCTGCTCCAAGGCAGGCTAGTTGCCGGCTGATTTATGCCTCCACTGCCACTTAACGCTCGGGTCCTTAATCAGTCCCGAGCTCAGGTTCTCCGGCTGCATGTTTTACATTGCTGTTTCTGGGATGATTATACAATATGTCCTGTAGAGCAGCACTGTTACTATTTCTCTCTCTGTCTCTCTTGAGATTCTACAGTAGGTAGGTGTAAGTCATTCCCCTACTCTGTGAGGAAGGAGAGAGAAGTGTTGGCGACAATGATTGGGTTAGTTCAAATGGTTAGCTCTGAACTAAATTTTTGTGCAGAATATCAATCGACCTATTTCCTTTCCCCTTTTCTTTTTTAAATAGAAACAAAAGCAACGAACTGAATGTGCCGTGGTGAAACAAGACTTCTTCTGTAGTTCAATATTTCAGGGGTAAATAGAATGTAACTGTGTAATCCTATTCTACTCCAAAGCAAGTCCGTTGAGTTCAGGGAGACTTGCTCCCAGGGAAGGACAGCAGCCTAAATACTGTTTGCTGAACAACCTGCTCTCAGAAAATGGGTTCAGGAGTGAAATGAGCACAGACAGGTCCTCTGCATGTTTACTCAAAGGATAAACCCCACTGGGACTCTCTCCCAAGTGCATACAGGCTGGGTTGCTACCTTATACATCTTGCAATTCTAGGTGTGGCTATTCTGAAGTGTGTCTTGCTGAGTAAATTGGGACTCATTCCCTAGTCATTGTGTTTAGGATTGCAGCCTTCATTTTTGTGAAAAGAATAAAAGTCACAGAGTTAGGAGATAAGATGACTTGAGAGATGTGTGTATATATAGCTCAGTAATGTATAACTATTTCCTTTTCAGAGGTGGGTTGAGGAAGGATGGAGGGTTGACACTTAAGGCTCACATGGGTGCTCAAATTCCTGTGACCTTGCTTGCAGTGCAATGCACTTATCATTGTTTGCTTTCCACTTCCCTTAATTCTCTTGTGTTTTTCCTACCACCGTTTCAAAACAGAAACATTTTTTTAAAAGTGGTTTTTTTTTTCCACTGGAATTTTGCAGACTTCCCTTATGGCTCCTCTCAACTCTCAAATGCCTACTGTTATCCCAGAGAAGAATCTGAACTGTCTGTTGTCAATAATAAATCATTTCCATTTTTAGTGCTTGGAAGACAGGGTTTGGGCTGTCCACATTAGTCTGACATACCAGATTGTTTTAGGTTTTGCAGTAAATGGTTTAAACGCAGACTTCATCCGTTCATGGTGACATGTAACTTGGATTCCTTATAGAGGATGATTATATGGATATGACTGGGTGGCATTAAAATCATGAGCTTGAGAATTCTCAGATCTCTGTATGCATAGGTACACTTTGCACAATATGAGTTCTCCTTGAATGTGCTGAGAGAAAAAAGAGAGAGGAAACCTTGATGTTTTGGGCATTGAGTGGGAAAGCTTTATGACAGCACATTCAGAAATATCTAGGTATGGTATAATTTAAATGGATGCAGTACCACAAATGGTTTAATAACACTAGCTGCTAAAGTGGAGCTTTTTTCTGTGGTGGGAAAAAAGCTTTTACAACTCTTAATTGATTCTTTAAAGAGGCTTAACATGAATAAGTCAGAAGGTTGTTTAACATGAATGCTTGCATAAATACTTCTTTTCATTTACCCTGTGAAATTAGACTTTCTTCTTTCCCCTGACAAATAATCATAACCTAGGTAAGTTCTTAATTTTCTTACACCTGCTCAGTCAGTCAGATGTGGACTTCTGAAACAGAGTGACATGATAGCAGTGCATTAATTTGCCTGCAACAAACAAAATGTATAATTGTGGTTGTGTTGCCGTTTCCCCCCGCTCCCTTCCCCACCAATCCTTATTTGCAACCCCCACTCAACTGTCTTGGTGTGATGGACACAAATGCTGTGCCATTCATGGAAAAAGAGTTGGGTGGTTGGTTTTCACTGACCTCTTGCTTCTGACACACTTTTATTGGCTTTGAAGGAAAAACAAAAACTCAAGCAACAATGCCCTCGCACACAGGTGGGGGATTTCATGATGGAAGGGTCCCTTAATAGGAGTCCTGTAGATAGAAAACTAGAAATTTGGGGAGAAGGCTCAAACTGTGTATGTGTAGGGAGGAGTATCTATTCTGAAGTGGCACAGTCTAGATACAGCTTTACTATATCATCTGCTGTTTGGGATAATGCTAAATTAATTTCAACAGAGAAAGACTGAAACTTTTGGGCAAAGAAAGAGCCTGTGGTTATTGCTTGCAATGTTACTTTATTAGGTTAACTTAACACAAATGTGCATATGTCCAACAGGAAGTGTTATATGAATTTTGGTTTCCTGCTAAGAGTACACACTCTTCCAGTCAGCTTCCAGAGCTTTGCAGAAAGTCTTAATTGAAAAAGGATTTTGTTTAATCATTTCCAAGTGGTTGGTATTTACTTCCCACCCTCTTTTAGTATCACAGTTTGATGTGCCTCCTGGACCTGGATTCTACTGTTTAGCCTTATTACTGATTCCCGACTCTCCTTTTCCTATTGCATGTGGGAACTGATTTTCTTGTTCTAGATCTCCCAAGTGCAGACAGGTTGCCCTATTTGTATGGTGGTAGAACTAATAATAAAATAAAGGTTTATTTTTCCTTATAAAAACATAACTACATAGATCTGAACATTTTGTTACCCAACTGGATTCCCCCCCCCCCAAGAAAAGAGTCACTTTTGCGTGTAGAATATAGTACTAGTATAGTTTGGTTTTGAGAGAAGGTGGGTTAAGCCTTCTTGAAAGAGTCAGAATGATGTAAGTTTGCTCCTCCAGTTTCCAACTTCTGGATATGGGTCAGTTTGGTATTTTGGGGTGGGGGGTGATTGATGGGTTGGATCCTATTACTATGTAGGATAGGAGTTGGATTAATCTGGACTTTCAGTTCCTTCCATCAAATTCTGGCAGAACTATTTTTTTTAAAAGGTTGGCGAAAGTGGAGCTACTTGATGCATGATGGAATGGTGCTGTTTTTCAACATAGGGCGTCCACTATCATCTGTATGACTCAGATAGTCTTCTGTAATGGCTATTTTACCGTCCTCCATGCTGTTCTTTCATCCTGTATGTTTCAATGCCTGCCAGGTTCTGCAGTTTTTGTTAAAAAGATTCTCCTGTACTCTGAACCAGGAATCAATACCCTATCCCAATATTAATATTTGCTACTGATCCCTCTTCTTGAAAGGGAACATCTTCTTACGTTTTCCATGTGCAAAATTCCCACTGTGGCCTTTTGTTTTTAGGCTTGTTCAAGATCTGTTCTCAGACATGCAAGTCCTGTCGCTCTTCTCAGAACCCTTTTATTGCAGTCTTGCCCTTTCTGAAATGAGGTGAATATTACATGATAAGGTTAAATTACACGATGCTATTGCAGATTATCCTTATTATTCTCTATCTTCTTTGTCTAGCCCCAGATTTCCTTTGCTACTCTTATGCTGAGCTTAGGTTGGTTCAGCCAATTTCGCTCCAACAATGTATACAATTAAATGCTACTTCTGAATTGTACTGTTTTGAATTTATATACCTGTATTAGCTTGGCATCATTTTGTAACAGATTTAGCTTTTTATAATTTAATACATATTTGATACTCTTGCTGCATCTTGTACAGTGGTGCAGGTCCTGTTTGCAAGGCAGTAAAAGAAATAAAATTGTTGCTATAAAAAAAATCCTCAAATATGTGTATGTGTTTGTAACTTTTCATTTACAGGACTGCACACTGAGTACAATATTAAGTATATTCAAGTCTTTCCCCCTCCCTACCCCAAATTCTTGCAGGTTCTGAGGATTACAACTGGCAATTTAGGAAATGATCTGGAACAATTATTCTCCCCTCTTCTTGTCCAACAAAAAATTGTGGCATGGGTGGGGGAAACTATCACTTATTGCCATGTGCTCAAGTGGGTGATCTGCAACTAGACAAGCATTGAGTTACTTATAGTACAGTCCTGTCTGTATGGCTACTTACAGAGAGCCAGTGTGGTGTAGTGGTTGAGAGTGGTAGTCTTGTAATCTGGGGAACCGAGTTCGCGTCTCCGCTCCTCCACATGCAGCTGCTGGGTGACCTTGGGCCAGTCACACTTCCTTGAAGTCTCTCAGCCCCACTCACCTCACAGAGTGTTTGTTGTGGGGGAGGAAGGGAAAGGAGAATGTTAGCCGCTTTGAGACTCCTTAAAGGGAGTGAAAGGCGGGATATCAAATCCAAACTCCTCTTCTTCTTCTTCTACTTAGACCCTCCTAGGCTAAGCTATGCCACACAAGTGTTCAAGCTCCTAGGGAGGACATTGTAGCGAGTGTTCGAAATTCCTCAGGTGTGTTTTGCTACTGGCACGGGTCCAATTGCTATTACATG